TGTGACGATAAATCACCTTTTCAGCGAGCTCAGAAGGAGCTGACAGCAGCCTAATGGGACGGTAATCCTGGGGGAATATCGAACCTGCCTTCTTTGGGATCAGGATGACTTCAGCGATCTTCCACGCCTTAGGAAAGTAATGAGTTCTGAGCATTGCATTGATTATTGCCACCAGATAAGTCAAAGCCTTGAGCGAAAGCAACTTCAGTACATTGTTGGTGATTTGATCCTCTCCAGGTGCTTGACGCACCTTTAGGTCCTTAATGTGGCCTTGGAGCTCTGCTGGTGTGCAAAACGGAATCTCAGACGATTCCGTTGATGTGCTATGCTGAGATTCATCCGAATAGTCTTCTGAATCTTCTGAAAAGGAGTCACCGATGTTAGCACTGATGCTGATATCGCCATTCGCTCTGGCAGATCTTACAATTTGTCGTTCCTCGTCAAAGTCTTGGTCCAGATCATAATTGGGAGAGAACTGCCTTTCCATGACGTCAGCAAAACCTCCACTTTATCCTCAGTCCTGAAAACTATGCCTCCGGGATCATGAATGTGTGGTAGTTGTTCTTGCCTTCCGCTTCTGAGCGATTTTGCCACTTTCCAGAGAGCAACTTGATTCAAGCATCCCCGCCAGAAAGTCGCTCCACCGGCGCTCATTGCGGAATTCATGGAGTGCATTACTCACTTCATGGACGAGATTCGTCGCTCTTCGAATGTCATCAAGATGACAAGACCTTTTTGCTTGCTTAATCGCAACCCTCTTTTCAGAAATTTTCCGGCCAATGTCAGAAGGGAGAATCCTGATCAATGAGTACGTCCAGAATCTTTGCCTTACAATGTCACTGTTACTTACATCAATTTTAAGGTTTGATTAAAGTCAGATTTTTTGGCAAACATCCTAGCCACAGACTTGCTAGAATTTAATAGGAAATAGGAGTGAATGTCTTGCAGAAATATCTACTAGAGTATCAAGATCTTGATTAATTTGGTTATTAACTGTTTCCAGTCAGTCACCGAAAATCTGTCTGTGGTCTAGAAAAGTTAAGCCAAAGTGACTTGGCGTAAATGGTTGATGCGGAAATTTGAGCAATTTCTTTTATTTCTCAAGCGTTTTCAACTTGTACTTAGTATTTAAAGTTTAACGACACATCATGGAAAAATAAAATCAGTTTTTTTTGGGTATCCCAGAAAGTGACAAATCAGATTTTTTTTGCTAAAAAATCACGGAGTGCCCCTAGAGCTCTATGGTCCTACTCCAAAACGGGCGTTTGAGGCTATTTCAGGTTCTCAATTTTGGATCTTGGAAATTTTTCTGTGCATCTTTTTGATCTTTGAACTATTCTGAAAAAACGAAGATCAATAAATTAAAATTAATACTTTAATACGCATGCTCTTTTACCTATTTTTATCGATACCATTACCGACTACCAGCTCTTCCTGAAACAAATTATATGGCGAGGTGTATTTTATATTAAGCTGATAGGAATTAGTAATGATGTTTACTTTTACGTCCATTATACTGAGAAATAAAACCCCAGGATGCCCTCTTTATTGAGTGACATGGCTTGCTAATTGCTTTTATAGATTGTCTCCTCACTTTAATAAGACAATATTATCGCGTGAGATGGTAAAAAAGAGATCTTGATCCTTTGCTAGGAAGATAAAGATAATGTATGGTGCCGAATTGTCTTTTTGAGTCATTAGCGAAAGCTCTAGATAAACAAGCTACGCTTAGAGAACATGCACTTGAACTACTTACGAAAAGGGCATCTGCAAGACACTGGCGCCATCTGTGAGACAGTAGCAGAACAAAAAAATATTTTAGAAGTCTGCTACTAACTCATAGATGGCGTCAGGAACATCAATCTTTTTCTGGCCTTTCTAATGCCTATTTCAACATACTGAACTAAAATATACATTTGAGAGACCAAAAAAAAGGTCGAAGATCCTAGCGCCATCTGTGAGACATTAGCAGAGCCTTCCTCCATCGTGACGAAAACGTTAGCAGTCCTCGGAAAACGCGAAAACCCATCCAGAACCGTTATCGCATCACACCGGTTCACCGTTTTGCAATCTTCGACTAAAAGGCTGCGTGTTTATGCCCAGAAATGCGAGAAATCGTTCTTCGATATTTAAAAAGAACCGTGCTATTTGTTTTGTAAGGAAATAATATAATACTCAACAGTTTGGCTTTGCGTTAAACGACTGCGCATTCGAGATCTAATAACAAACCATAAGAAAAAACCTGGATAGAAAATTCATGGTCCATTAGTTAGGGTGGAGAATATCTCAAGGCCTCAAGGTCTTATGTTATTTCTTTTCAAGACAACTTTAGATGTCAAAATCTCGCATTCAGATCCATAAACAAAGCACATGCAGCATTTTAGTCGAAGATTCCATAACAACTAACCGGTGTGTTACGACAACAGTTTTAGGAGGACTTTCACGTTCTTGTAGGACTTTTGGCGTTTTCGGGACGATAGGCGAGGGTGACGTTTCTCGTACATTAAAAACTTTATACTTGCTTCTCGCTTTGGAGGGCTGGATGTCTTTTTGGGAAAGTCTTACAATAAAAAGAAATTTTAAACATAATGTGGCTTAATTCGGTTAGACTAAAATAGGGGTTTAACAGTATATGGTTGGATATCTTTAGGTAAAACACGTTAATCAGGGTTGGAAGGAAAATTTGGTGGGATGTCTTCTAAAAGTGGAGATGAAACGACCTTGGTCTGGTGCAAATAAACACGAACAGAGCAGTCCTTGTTCAAATGAGAAAATAGAAAAGAACTCGTGCAGATTATTGAAAAAAAAAAACGCGACACCTAGAGCGCCTATTGAGAGGAAAGGAACATGAGCTGATTAATGAAGGTAGAACTGGTCAAAGCATATACGACTATAGTTCATACATGCCTCAATAGAAGTATTTATAACTACAACATCTAGAGTAATGGTAGACTATTGGATACGCTGGACATTGCTAATTGTACCATCACATGACCAGAGGTTTGTGCGCTCTGAGGGAAGTAATGAAATATGCGCCTACCCCCAATTTTCGGAAAGCTAGAGCTTTCCTGACAACTGAGGATGACGCGAAATTGGTTGAGTACGTTCCTACGTGGGACCAAAAAAAAAAAAGGAAGAAATTCTTAGTGGCTTGATCAGCTTACTATAGACCTAACCTAAAATATTGTATGTGGTGTTTCCGGATGTATGATTTTTTATTATAACCAATTTTCATGATTGTCGGATTGTTTTTTTATAAATGCAAGCGTTTTACCATAATCAAACACGCACGTATTTTCGTGCACACAGTCATTTACTACGCCACATTACAGGAAAACAACGTGATTTGTAGATAAATGGCTGCCTTCCAACAGGAAGGCGTCATTCATTTTTACTTGTGTACGGTCTGTGCACCAACAATTTTATTACGATAATAATTTCATCGGTTGAAAGTACCTATACCTACATGGAATCATGCTCGCAGTACTTACTTATATCTACATAGAGATTTGAGATATTTTAACCTTTCCTTTTACATATACTTGGAGTACAGATGAAAGAACTGCAATATAAAATATAGCATTTGTATTACAACAGCTTATACATACAGCGGACGTGGTTTTATAATACCAGATTCAATAAATGTGCTCCATTCGTTTCTGTTGGTTGTAGTAGGCTTTTTGTTCTGTGAACAGATGAGAATCAAAATTTGCTGCAGGCTTTCGCACTAATGTGAATTGGGATTAGATCACCCCTTATTTCAGAACCTAATGCTATTAGAATGTAATTCGAACGCCAATGTAGATCAACATGACCTATACTGATACGTAATTAATTACTCTTTAATGGGTTATATGCAAGTTGATGAAATGAGTGTCCTAGCAATAGTTCTCTGTAGCCAACGGAATCTATTATGCTTAATAAAAGTTTTTTTTGTCAAAATCCGATGTTTCATTTGATTTATTTTTCCACGCATATTTTAGATCCTACTTATAAGTCGTTATTACCTTTATCTTATAATCTGACTCCCACATGCTTTAATTATGTAGGCTATGCAGTGGATAAATAAATACACTAAAAAACTTATATGGGAAACATTAGTAATAATGTGGTATTTTAGCAAAATGCGTTTTAATTTATCTGTTCCAACATATTATTGGTTGTTGGGTTAATCATTGTGTTTAAATCAGCTTCTAGCTAATTGTTTTACTGGTCCAACTATCTCGTAACGTGACGTGTTTTGATGGTATATTATACATTTTTCTTGAACGACTAACAGTGTGGTTTGATATTATTTAACCCTATTTCACCAATAACAATCAAAGTACTTTTGTGAGGAAATTGAGGAGTAGTATGTTTCATTGACAAAAATAATCAAAAGCTACCTAGGACGAACTCTCTTGATTAAATCCAATGCGTATCAGTTCCTGGCTGAACTCGATGCAAAGAAGCTAAACAAGTATTTTTCTTTTGTTCCGAATAAGGATTTTTCTATAGCCATATTCTGTCAGCATCCTAAATCACCTCATTGTATTGCGCTTTGTTAGCTTTAGAGAAAAATCTTGTGTATTTGTAATTTAAAGACAAACACATAAATTGGATATCAGTCTTTTGCTGAGGTTTACGTGACACCCCAAAATACCAATCCCCCTTTTCTAAATACAGCTTATGATTTTTGCAGGCATTTTTACGAAATATATTTTTATGAATCCAAATTAAAAAGTTTTTGATTTGTCGTAAGAAAAGCACAGAGATAACGTAATAGCAATGCCATACTTCAACTAGAATTTTCCAGGTCGAAAACTACTAACTGGCATTTTTCACTCATTCAAGCATTGTGTTTCTTATGTTTGTTAAATATTCTCAAGTATAGAAAGTAGTTAGGGAGCTTGAGAGTATCATGGAACTGTCAATACTACTCTTCGTAAATTCCATACTAAAATAATACTAAGGTACAACGATTAACAATATTCAGCTAATTCGGATTATTTTGTTTTCAGGAATGATAATATCGATGCCTTTCTTACTTCTAACATTCCTGGTCTACCTCATCATACCCGAGAAGAATCTACATCGAAAGGCGTTGATGTTTTATGTGATATGTCTTCTTCTAGCTTACGTACTTTTGGTTACGAGCAATTTGTCCAAGTATAGCTTTCCGGACGTCACTTGTCATCTGATCGGTGAGTATCTAGGACCTAGAGGATGACCCAGAAAAGAAGGGTCTTCAGATCTTTTTTAGTTAAGGTACATTTCCGAGAAAATAGTAAAAAATCTAGTTTACTGAGCTTGAGTTCAATGTGAACGAGAGAGGAGTGTGTATAGACACATACTATATGCTAGAAGTAGATAGAAGCCGGTTGGATAGCGAAGCACATCACCGCGTTGCCTAGCAACGTTGACGCGACAACTTTGAATACTGAGATCGTCAACTTGTGAGCAAGGAGAACGAAAAGAGGAATTTTGTGTTAAGAAACTTTAAAAGTTAAAAGGGATGACATTGGAGAACGTTTTCAAAAAATTGTGTTTCATAATAATACTTATTTATGAATGGTTTATTCTTTAAATAATTTTGTTATAAAGCTGTGTCTGTCGTAACATACAGGGTGTTTCAGTTTATTGTTGCATTACTTTAAGATTCGATAGAACGTTTAAAATTAATGTATAAAGTCTATATAAATATGGGTCGAAAAATGCGTGGCTTCCGAAATACAGGGTGTTTAAATTTACTTTCTAAAATAGTTTTTTCTAAATATTTCGAACAATATTTGATGTATAATAGTGAAAATTCGTATACAAGGGTTTTTTGGTACGACAAAACGAACCATGGGCATAGTTTTATTGTAGCCGCTAGAGGGCGCTCTCTACTGTACCTGTAGTGTATTAAAATGACCGAAAATTTTTTCTTAGTGCAATTTTTTACTTTTTGAATAAAAAAACTGATTCTTCGCACTTTTCAACATAAAACAGCTCTCTTGTGAACTTTCGTTATAGTTAGCCGTTTTTGAGATATTTCGATTTTTAAGGTTCGATGCATTTTTAATTATTTATGATAAAATAACGTTAAAAAGTCAGTATCTCGATAATTTTTAGAAGTAGGCTGTGCCTGCAAATACTTTTGAAATTGAAAGCAGAATAAGGTTAAACGTCAATTAGTTGACAGTTAGTTTTGTTGTCTGTTTATTTGCAAATGTGAATGCACAAAATTTAGTTTCTTTTACCTTTTTTTTGTAAGTTTTATAAAAATGCCATTTTTATTCTCCAATCAAGAGTTAGCGGATATTCATTTTGTGTATGGCTTTGTAAATGAAAACGCAGCAGAAGCAGCCAGAGAATACGCACGAAGATTTCCAACTCGCTCAGTATTTGTAAGAGTGCATCGCCAAATAGTTGAAAATGGTTTTGGAAATCTCCAAAGGTATCAAAACATAAATGTTCGTCAGCGCAGATTTACCCGTATGATTCTGCGTGAGTTTAATAGAGATCCGAACACAAGTGTTAGGAGAGTTTCTGGAGCCTTGGGAATTTCAGCAAGCCATGTTCACAGTGTTCTTAGAAATGACCATAGACGTCCTTACCATTTGCAACCTGTGCAAGGACTACAGCCAGGGGACGGAGAACGAAGAATCACATTTTGTCAGTGGATTCTTGATAGAACTGATAATAATAGGGAGTTTTTAAGTAACGTTTTATGGACCGATGAGTCATGCTTCACTAGACGTGGAGTGGTAAATTTTCATAATCAACATATTTGGTCGCATGAAAATCCGCATGCAGTTCGGGAAAGGAATTTTCAGCATGAATTTAGTGTGAACGTGTGGATTGGTATCTACCGTAATAGACTATTTGGACCCTACCTTTTGCCTGCAAGGTTAAATGCTGCGACCTTCTTGGAATTTTTGAAGGCTGAACATGCAAATATGTGGGATGATGTTATGTTAGATTTAAGAAGATTGGCCTGGTTCCAGCTTGATGGTTGTCCAGCTCATTATTCGAGAATAGTTAGAAACTGGCTGGACGAAAATTATCCAGAAAGATGGATCGGCCGTGGAGGACCAGTCGCCTGGCCTCCACGATCCCCTGACCTAAATCCATTAGATTTCTTTGTGTGGGGAGTTCTAAAAGAAAAAGTGTACCAGACTCCCGTAACCACAAGGGATATGCTAATAGACAGAATCAGGAATGCATGTGATGAAATAAGGCCTTATTTGAATAATGCTATACCACGTTCGATCATTCGTAGATGTGAATTGTGTATTGAACAATTGGATTTACATTTCAAGCAACTACTTTAGATTTTGTATGTTTGTCCTAACTCTCCAATAGCATTTTAGTTGTAAATAATTAATTTGATTTGTTAAAAATAATATTGGAAAATTAAACAAATTAATATTCTGTTTTTTTGTGTTTATTTGGAGTTAGGAATTATTGCTGTGTTTAAAAACACAATCTAAACGATCATCTTAATTACTTGTAATGCCCAAATCGAAAATGTAAAAAAAAATATTATTTTCCCATAAATAATTAAAAATGCATCGACCCTTAAAAATCGAAATATCTCAAAAACGGCTAACTATAGCGAAAACTCACAGGAGAGCTTTTTTATGTTGAAAAGTGCGAAGAATCAGTTTTTTTTATTCAAAAAGTAAAAAATTGCACTAAGAAAAAATTTTCGGTCATTTTAATACACTACAGGTACAGTAGAGAGCGCCCTCTAGCGGCTACAGTAAAACGATGCCCATGGTTCGTTTTGTCGTATCAAAAAACCATTGTATACCAATTTTCACTGTTATACATCAAATATTGTTCGAAATATTTTAAAAAAACTATTTTAGAAAGTAAATTTAAACACCCTGTATTTCGGAAGCCACGCATTTTTCGACCCATGTTTATATAGACTTTATGCATTAATTTTAAAAGTTCTATCGAATCTTAAAGTTATGCAACAATAAACTGAAACACCCTGTATAAAATTAACTCAAAAAAGTCAGAACATGAAAATAGTTTTGTATATCCATAAATACTGATTTTGCTAATGATATCATAGAAACAGATATAGTATTTTTGATACTATGTAACCATCAATTTTGTGATTATTTCCACGCAATTTGTTATACAGCATGTCGCAGATGTAATTGTGACAAATATAGAATTAAAATGGTGGGAGGTGATTGTTTACCACGTACAAATATTTGTCATACAGTCGGTAAAACCGCCGAGATTTTCGTGAAATGTGAGGAGGTCTACTCTGCGGAATGGACTTTCGTCCTGACCCTGAGCAGGAGGAACAAAGAGGTCATGAAGGGTATAGTGTTGATAGGCCGTCAGCCAACCATCCTAACCGTGCAGTACATCCTGAACTGGCCGATACGACCGTTCCTTTGTCCCTAGGGTGTCGGTATTGTGAGACATTCTACAAGAGAAGCTTCCCCAGTTCTACCAGCCTCAGGCAGTTCAAAACTCGGATAAACAAAGCTTATTTGAGATGCTCATAGCAGCCGCGATGCCCTGGTATTTAGGCTTCTGCCTGCGAGGCTGCTACGGTATAGAAATAATGCCAAAGATGGCTCAATCGTAATGTTTCGCCTCCCCGTCATTACTAGGTAGAGCACTCGACCTCATGACCTCATGAAAGTTTTTACATATAAATGTATCAATTTCATCTTTATTCCAGGTTACTTTATAATGTTTTTCTTCCTCGGATCATTCCTTTGGATGAATGTTATGTGTATCGACATGTGGCTAACATTTAGGTGAGAGTATTTTTTCAATTCTTATATCATTCATTGAGCAATTAAAAAAAAAATCGCAAAAGCTGATTCTTGTTTTTTTTTCGTTGTTGTTTCCAAATTATAGTTGTAAGGTGCTTCACTAGGCGCATTTCTGTCTCCCGCTCTTCTTTTGTAATAAGGGATGTAATGTGACGCTACTTTTCTAGTAAAGTATAGGGTTGTCCAATAGGGACGCAGGAAAGTAAGCGTCAATTTGACATAGACGCCATATTTGTTTTCTGTCACCGACCGTCATGTTAGTTGAATGTTTACCATTGATCGCTATGGAGTCGTATTCGATTGAAGACCGCATTAAAGTTATTCAAGAGCACTACAAAAATGGTGCAAAAATAAAAAACACTTTTCGCGCGCTTCGTGAACATTTCGGTCGCAACAACCGCCCAAACGAAACAACCATCGGTCGTCTGGTGCGTAAATTCGAGGCAACAGGTTCTGTGGCAAATCTGCCAGGCTCTGGCCGGCCAAGGAGCGTTCGCACACCGGAAAATATTGCTGTTGTGAAAGAGAGTGTGAGAGACGATCCGAAACAATTATCAACGCGTCGATCCCAAGAATTGGGCATTTCGAGAACCAGTTTGCTGTACACGCCTACAAGATCCAATTGACGCAAGAGCTGCGTCGGGCCGACCATTTTTCGCGCCGAACGTTCTCAGATTGGCTCCTTGAACACCGCCAAATTGATGCCAATTTTTCATCAAAAATTATGTTTAGCGGCGAAGCGCATTTTGAATGGTACGGTAAACAAGCAAAACTGCCGCATCTGGGCGAACGAAAATCCCCGTGAGTATCAAGAGCAGCCAATGCATCCTCAAAAAGTGACTGTTTGGTGTGCATTGTGGTCAAAAGGCATCATCGGACCTTACTTTTTTGAAAATGCGGCCGGGGACGCCGTTACCGACAATTCTGAACGATATCACGTGATGATAGAGGACTATTTTTTGCCGCAACTTGAAGGAATGGATATGGACGATGTTTATTTCCAAGACGGTGCAACATGCCACACAACCAACGTCAATATCCATCGATTGCAGTCTTTCTTCGGTGATCGCGTGATTTCGAGCACAGGAAATGTGCCATGGCCACCAAGATCGTGCTTGGACTTCTTTTTATGGGGATATTTGAAAAGCAAAGTCTACGTCAACAAACCAGCCACCCTGCAAGAACTCAAAAACAACATCATTGCCGAGATAAATGCCATAGAACCGACCATGTTGCAAAATGTCATTGAAAATTTCGATCATCGCGTGGACGTCTGTAAATCCAGTCGTGGTGAACATTTGAGCGATATTATTTTAGATACATAAATGGTATAAATGAACCTTCAAATAAAGTACCCAACTTGATTTGAATATCAATCTTTCTTGTTTTAATATGCGTTTACTTTCCTGCGTTCGCTTTGGACAACCCCATATTTTTGAAAAAGATTAAGGTCAAATCTTCAATAACCTGCAAGGTTACATTAGGGTCAACTTTTATTTTCTGAAACCGACAATCGAAAGAACAGAATGTTCTGTCAGTTATAAGCTTCAAATGTGTGAGGCTAGGGAAGATTCCTAGGATTATTGACGGAATAATCAAGGTAAGAAGGGTTTCAATATTGAACTTAGATTTGACCTTGAGCCTCATCTTCAAGGTCATAATAGTACGTGAGAATGTAAAATTTTCCACTGTCGGTGTCAAATATTCTCACACAAGAGCTCTCCTAGTCCTTGAGATTTTGAAGGTGAAACTCAAGGTCACCTTGTTGAAAGTTTGCAAAAACGAATCTTTCCATCGATAACCCTGCTAAGCTTCCAGGAATTCTCCCTAGCCGTATACATGTAACCATTATTTGACATCTTTTTTTTAAATTTTAATACATATTCGGACGTAAATTTTCCATGCTACTAACGATCACAGAAAGGGAGCCTTCTATTTAAAAAACAAAAGTTTACTTCGCAATAGCCTTGAAGGTGAAGCTCAACGTCAAATCCAAGGTCCCTATCAAACTGGAATACAGAATTGTTCTGTGATTGGTATGTTGCAGGCGGTAATGTACTGGAGTGTGCCTTGACCTGACGAGGATGTACTTTCAATAATGTAAGGTTAATTTTTTTAGTGGGGCGAGAGGATACGGTGGCACAAGGAGCACTGAACAAAAAAGGTTCTTATTCTACTGCCTGTATGCCGTAGGAGTTCCAGCTATGTTCATTTTGTTCGTTTTTCTGTTGAACACTTACGGAGACGAGGAATCGATATTTCATCCAAAACTCGGCCGCAACAAATGCTTCCTCGAAGGTGATAAAATAAAATCTATTTTTCATAAAGGACTTGCTGAAAGTACTTTCGCATGAAGCTACTGAGACTTGAACCTTCGTAAATAATTTTAATGCGATCATTAGATTTAGAGGTGATTCTGTAAAATCCCGTTCATCAACAAATTTCAAAAGTTTACCCAATCAGAAACTGAAGTTGAAGTCGCATGTAGGTGTCTTCCCAGTCATGGTATCTCCAAAAGTAATTCTGTTTCTGAGACCTCATCATAAAAATCAGTAGATTTTTATCCAACCATGAGGGTTCGTTTTCACAAATTTTACATTATAATATGGAAATTCATGAAAGTGATGGAATTCCCTATTATTTAGAAGTTTGCCTGCATGACTTATTATTGTTTAAACCAAAAATGAGCCTAATGATTTGCTTTTGAGCTCAAAATACCCTTTTAATATTAGTAGACACTCCCCAAGTGGCAAAATTAAATGACAAATGGCTACAAAACAAATGCATAGTATAGGCTCAAAAAGAATGGCTTAGGAGGGGTTTTATTTTGAAAATAGCAGGTTTTTTGCAAACATAATTTACGACAATATACAGGGTGTTCGAAAATAGACGGAGATATTTTACAGGGTGTTTCCTTATTAAAAATATGGAAAAAGTTACTATAAAAAAATTGGCAATATTATTTGTTGTATTAGGAGGCTAATTTAAGCCTAAATAAATTAAAATTATTATGTCCAGTGGCGTCCCGGGGAGCCCCTCAGCGAATATTATTGACGAATAAATGTACGCCATTGCCTTTTCTGTAACTTCAATATTTGTTGTTTGGTTGAGCATCTGAAAATATAACTTCTTTGCCTCTTGTACTTTTTTCGTATCTCACTTCGTTTTCGAGAAAAAAAATAAAAACCGTTTTATTGCATGTCACCGGGCAAAATTGGTTTATCAACTTTTGCTAAAGAAATCACAAGTGCTTTGGAAAACAAGAAAATCAAAAATTAGTTTCTTAATACAACAAATAATATTGCCAAATTTCAACAGAATCGATTAAATATTTTTTGAGATATTAACATTTTTCAAAACTTTGCATTTCCAGACCTATACTAATTTCAAAATGATTGCACTGCTTTAAAGCCCTTTGACCTTTATTAATGTGTGGATGCACCCTGATGTGCTATGCATTCTCCAACGCGCCTAGGCATGCTTCTGATCAGGTGGTCAATGTCCTCCTGTGGTATCTCATTCCAGGCACCCACCAACTCCTCTCGAAGTGCTTCTAGAGTTTGAGGAGGACGTTGCAAATTGAGCAATCTCCTACCCATCATATCCCACACGTGCTCAATTGGGGATAAGTCGGGAGATCTTGGTGGCCATGGTAACAATGTGACATCATTATCTTGAAAGAAGTCTATTGTGACTCTTGCAACATGTGGTCGGGCATTATCTTGTTGGAAAGTTGGATCTGCCAGGGTGTCAAGATAGGGTAAAAGATGGGGTTCTAGAACTTCGTGGATATAACGCTGCGCGTTCATGTTACTTCTGATGAAGATTAAAGGTGACCTGGAACCATAAGCTATAGCACCCCAAACCATAACTCCAACAGTGTGATGAACATGTCTTTCAACAAAAAACTGTGGATTCCTCCTTTCACCACGTCGCCTTCTAACCCTGGCACGACCATCGTGCATGCCTAAACAAAATCGAGACTCGTCACTACAGACAATACTGTTCCATTCCTGATCCCAGAGTGACCGTTGTCTGCACCACTCAAGGCGATTACGTCGGTGTTCTCGAGTTAAAGGGAGGACCCAGTGTGGCCGGTATGAAAACAATCCAAAACTTCTCATTCGTCGGTAAACACTTCGCATGCCAATAGGTCTTCCATGTTCTGCAAACCATTCATTTGCAATGGACCTGGTAGTGGAGAAACGGTCCCTTTAGGCCAATAATCTTAGGCGGCGATCTTCACGGTCTGTTGTTCTACGGTGGCGTCCAGTGCCCCTTGCTCTTTGCGTACGGCCTTCTCGAAGCCATGCCTGACAACACCTAACCACAGTGTCTACACTTCTTTGCACTCTAACTGCAATTGCCCGAAAAGAAAGTCCAGCTTCCCGAAGTCCCACTATACGGCCCCTATCAAACTCACTAAGTCGACGAAATCGTACAGGTCTCCATACTCTAGGCATCGTAACCGATCGTAAAGGATGTCAAGAACCAAAATCCGCCAACGTTGATTCTTTACTGCGGCTGAAATATTCATTTTTAGAGCGTTAGTGAATTAAAAAAAAGCAGTATAAAAACCGGAATGTCCAACTGATAAGGCTGAAAATTTTTTCACTTGTTATTTACAGTAAGATAAATACATTCACCAACTTTTATTAAAATAAAACCATTTAAACTGGGTGTTCGGATTTATATGTGACTTAGTATATATTTATAGAAATTTTTTATACATTATTCAACAAGAAATCACCCTCTAAAATATCTCCGTATATTCTTCTACCATCCTGTATATTGTTATCCATACAGAAACAAACGGAAACAGTTGATCGTAGTGTTCAAGTTTTTGCTATGATTTCTGAAACAAGGTTCACTAGAAGGCGTCAACTTATCCATTTAGCACAATTTGAATCCAATAATAATTGTTGACTTTTTTCAGATGGATACCCACAGTTATTTTACCTTTACTTGCCGATGGCCACATTGATCGGGATGAACATAATCTTATTTATCCTTACTGCGATCAAAATACAAAGGGTTAAGATGGAAACGGCTATGTTAAAGCAAACTGACAGCAGAAAGCATAACTATGAAGGTGATAAGCAACAGTAAGTCCATCAATATTCATATAGTTTATCTTCGTTTGCTTGCAAACAATTTAAAAAGAGCTTCAAAACAAATAGGGTACTGGAATATACAGGGTGACTTCGAAGTTGAGTCATTTATTTTAACAGTGAGTAGATCTGATCAAAAGAAATGTTTTTTTCCTTTACCATTTTCTGGTAAACTTAAAGTAACAAAGTTATAGCCCTTTGAAGTTTGAGTACCGCCCTGTCTCAATAATAATATTATGTGCTCGTGTTTGGCGACAACGGATATAATCCGCCGTATCGGTTCATCGCATCGGAAACAAAAAAGCGAAAGAATTTGGAACGATGTTTTTACAATTATTTTATTCATTTGTATACAGTCAGTGTCAGTGAATAGTAGTGTCTGTTGCGTGGCTCAAACGAAATAAAAAATGGCACATGTTTATGCGGATCGGTTTCCCAATCGAGTGCAATCAACCCCTCGTGCCTTTGTTAATGTAGTACAACGGGCTCGTGAATCAGGTGACTTAAGACCACACAGGGGACTGCATGCCGGTGCTCCAAGACCTCACGATCAATACAGGTCCGCACTGAAATACTTGTCGGGAGGATACTTTATAAAACAAGGTAAAAAAATTTTTTAATTTTTTTTTATTTTTACACACATATTTTGGTTTATCTTCCTTCTACAGTCATTATCTGAAAATTAATGACTCAACTTCAAAGTCACCCTGTATAGATGCAATTTTATTATTATGTCCGTAAAAAACAGTTTCAATAAATTCTAGTAAATAGAAGGATCAGGGTAAATAAAAGGGGGTTTCGTCCCTGAAAATAACCTGTATTAATATTTTAAACTTTCCTCTTCATTTTTATTTATTTCAGTTACTGGACTCTTTTTAAAAGCCCAAAATCGCAAGTTTGGCACCTTCATAAAAAAATTTGAATATTTGCCAAAATTTAACTTAGTATTTTTATATAAGCACAGTGGCAACAGTTTCTCCTTCAAACTGTTATTAAATACGCTAGGACAGAATGATACTTGCTTTTCTTTAATGTCCCCCTCCCTTTGATGTTTGAACGGATCAATTCAAAAAATTAAGATTTGAGGTAATGAAAGTGATGCGTGGATACCATATCTTAGAGTAAAATTGACAGATGAAAATAGAAGATGGCCGCTGGCCAAAAATTATATGACAAACGGGGGTCTTGTGGCACATCGTTTTGAGCTCCTGACGAGTACGTTATAACCCTAGAATATAAAGGTTAATATCTTTACCTACTACTAAATGGTGGAACATTTAATAATTACCGGAATACATTGACATTTGACTTGATAATTCCAGTGAATACGTTTAGTTGAGTTTTGAAAATGCTGGAATGGTTGCCTTGAACTTGTTGAAACAATAACGGCCGGTCCGTAATGTCGCGTCGAACATTTTCAAAACATAGTAACATCGATATCTCTACAAATATTTGTCATTCCCATAGTCTCGCAGAATTCTGTTCTTCGATCAGGGTCATCTTCAGTTAGCTGATGTACCATTTGAATTTTGTATGGGCGATACGTATTCTTTTTCAAAAGTCTCCATACAGTAGAAGGACGAACTTCACATACATTCGCGATGGAGGAAGTAGACTGTTGGGGCATTTACTATGATCTCACCAGTTATTTGAACTTGCTTTTTTCCGGGATGGTCGGATGACCTGGGGGCTTTTTGTTGTTTACACTACCAGTAGCTGTAAATTTAGTTGCAAGTTCCCATAAACATTTTCTACAGATAGGACGACTCGGGAAACGATCATTAAAAATCCTTTCGGTCTCGTGAAAGCTACGCGTCGCTCCATAAATAAGAATCGCTTCGATTTTTTCTTCCAATGTACAAGAATTGACCATTGTAAAAACAGTATCTGGCACTAAAACCGAAAACTAAATGTACAATGATGTTTGTCTTCGTACTGATATTCTTGTCACTGTCAACAAAAAATAACAAAACAGGTTTTTATCGCTGTTGCTGTGGATACGGCAGGGAATTACAATTATTTGTAGAGATATGCATGTTAATGGGTTTGTGTTCAAGTAATTATTAAATGTACCACCATTTTGTAGTAGGTAAAGGTATTGACTTTATATTCTAGGGTTATAACGTACTCGTCAGGAGCTTCAAAATGATGCCACAAGACCCCCGTTTTCATATAATTTTTTTTCCAAGATGGGGCCCAGCGGCCATCTTAACATTTCATAAAATCAAAGGGGAGGGGGATATTAAAGAAAAGCATTGTATGTATAAAAATGAGTTTTCCTATACTGGGTTCACATTGAAAACAACAATGTATTGACTTGTTTCAACTTTTGTTTTTATTGTAAGTAGACATGTTTATATACGTTTTATATGTGTTAGCATGTTTTATTTCAGATTCAAAGTAAAAAGTCTTACGACCATGCGCTCACATAAAAATACTGAGTGAAGTATTAGAAAATGTGAGAATTGTGACACAGATGCAAACATTGCTAACTTTGGACATTTGTAGAAAAATCAACTACTAAAATAAAAAAAATACGGTTAACGAAAATTTAAAATCTACATGTTTTAAAATATCCAACAGTATAGATTCGACCAACTTGAAATTCGAGTTATTTTCACGGCCGAAAGACCTGCTTATAGATCCTGATCATTTATACAGGATGATTCACACGTCGTGTCCAAAAATGGAACATCATATACAGGATTGCATTTTAAGGGGGGGTCTCTATGTAACATTTTCCCTCGATGGCTTCATTAAAAAGTTACGGGGTGTTGAAGTTTAAAAATAAAAAACAACATTTTTTTTTCATATCTACAAAACCGTCAACTGGAAAGAAGAACTGAAATTTGGAATGTGGAATTAACTAAGTATTGCCCACATTCAAAAGTCTTTAATTAAAATTAACGTATACCAGTGGCGGAGTTACAGGAGATTAGTGGCATTATTTTTCCAAATAAAAATAGTATGCCACTGTTTTTTTTTTTCGAAACATTCAATTTTTTGAATTTTGCTACAAATCTCGTAATTACTCTTGTGTTTTTTCCTTTAGTGCATTGTTTTCGTAGAAATAAAAAAACAAATTAGATAATCAAAGCTTTATTTCAATAAATGTTCAAAAAGACTGACAAACTATCTCCCAAGAAACGTCAAGTTGGTATTAAGGCCTTCTATTTTATTTTGAAACTAATTGTATCTCACCTCTTGATGAATGATGTAATTTGTTTTATTTTGATTTTTACGAAAACAGTGTATTCTATAAAAAAAGCACAAGACTTGTTTCAACTTTTCTTTTTATTATAAATAGACATGTTTATATACGTTTTATACAGGGTGACTTTGAAGTTGAGTCATTAATTTTCAGATAATGATTGTAGAAGGAAGATAAACCAAAATATGTGTGTAAAAATAAAAAAAAAAATAAAAAAAATTTGTTACCTTGTTTTATAAAGTATCCTCCCGACAAGTATTTCAGTGCGGACCTGCATTTGATCGTGAGGTCCCCTGTGAGGTCTTAAGTCACCTGATTCACGAGCCCGTTGTACTACATTAACAAAGGCACGAGGGGTTGGATGCACTCGATTGGGAAACCGATCCGCATAAAAATGTGCCATTTTTTATTTCGTTTGAGCCACGCAACAGACACTATTCACACACGTTACCGACTGACACTAACTGTATGTATAACTGAACTGAATAAAATAATTGTAAAAACATCGTTCCAAATTCTTTCGCTTTTTTGTTTCCGATGCGATGAACCGATAAGGCGGATTATATCCGTTGATGCCAAACACGAGCACATGATATTATTATTGAGACAGGGCGGTACTCAAACTTCCAAAGGGCTATAACTTTGTTACTTTAATTTTACCAGAAAAATAGTAAAGGAAAAAAACATTTCTTTTGATCAGATCTACTCACTGTTAAAATAAATGACTCAACTTCGAAGTCACCCTGTATGTGTTAGCATGTTTTATTTTAGATTCAAAGTAAAAAGTCTTACGACCATGCGCTCACATAAAAATATTGAGTGAAATATTAGAAAATGTGAAAATTGTGACACAGGTGCTAAAATTGATAACTTTGGACATTTGTAGAAAAATCAACTACTAAAATAAAAAAAATACGGTTAACGAAAATTTAAAATCTACATGTTTTAAAATATCCAACAGCATAGATTCGACCAACTTGAAATTCGAGTTATTTTCACGGCCGAAAGACCTGCTTATAGATCCTGAACATTCATACAGGATGATTCACACGTTGTGTCCAAAAATGGAACATCATATACAGGATTGCATTTTAAGGAGGGTCTTCTATGTAACATTTTCCCTCGATGGCTTCATTATTTTTTCATATCTACAAAACCGTCAACTGGAAAGAAGAACTAAAATTTGGAATGTGGAATTACCTAAGTATTGCCCACATTCAAAAGTCTTTAATTAAAATTAACGTATACCAGTGGCGGAGTTATAGGAGATTAGTGGCATCATTTTTCCAAATAAAAATAGTATGCCACTGTTTTTTTTTCTAAACATGCAATTTTTTTAATTTTGCTACAAATCTCGTAACTACTCTTGTGTTTTTTCCTTTAGTGCATTGTTTTCGTAAAAATAAAAAAACAAATTAGATAATCAAAGCTTTATTTCACCAATGTTCAAAAAGACAAGAAACGTCAAGTTGGTATTAAGACCTATTTTATGTTGAAACTAATTGTATCTCGCCTCTTGATGAATGATGTAATTTGTTTTATTTTTATTTTTACGAAACAGTGTATTCTATAAAGAAAGCACAAGAGTAATTACTTGTAACAAATTGAAGGTAAAATTTGCCAAATTGCGCGTTTTGAAAATTAAACAGTGGCGTACTATGTTTATTTGGAAGAATAATGCTACTAATCCCCTGTATCTCCGCAACTGGTCCACCTTAATTTAAGTAAAGATTTTTGAATTTGGACAATACTTACGTAAATCCACATACCAAATTTTAGTTCATTCCAGGACGGTTTTGAAGATATAAAAAATGTTTTTTATTTTAAAACTCTAAGCCCTCGATGAAAAAACGTTACATAGAAGACCCCCCTTAAAATGCGAGCCTGTGTATGATGTTTCATTTTCGGTCACGACGTGTGAATCACCCTGTATATCGTACCGCATTAACATTATTGAAGTACTTCCATCCTTCTGTACAGATTCAATTTGTACCTAAAGCTGTTATTCGCGATGGGCGTCAACTGGACCACCGAAGTCATCTCGTGGGCAGCACTATGGAAAATGCAGTCCGTACCGTCATGGATATGGTACCTGACAGATCTCATCAATGCTCTCTATGGCATTTTCATCTTTTCATCTTTGTTTTCAAGAAGAAAATATGGCAATCACTGAAGAAGAGGTGAGTTTCCAATTTTTGTTTTCATTTCATGTTGAGTGATTCCAAAGTATACTACTGATATAGAGATCGTACACTCGCCAGGAGCGAAGTGCATAGCGGGGGGAAATAAATCGATAGCCGCGCACGCGGAAACATCGTCGGCCTGGTAGTGGAATATACGAGGTCTGTGAATTAAATGGTGCGACTGATTTTTTAATAAAATAAAATTATAATTTTTTATCGTCATCTTCAAAATAACTTTATTCTGCTACTCATATTACTCATTTTTAAAAGACAATAGGAAAAACTGATTCAAAAAAAATTTTTACGAACAACCAAATGACTCGAGCGAGGGCAAACTTGTACTGAAGGCGGATCACATGTTCCCCTGTTTCCCCTCCTTGTCCGGCGCCTTCAGTGTTGCCAGATCGAACGCTACGTTGCCAGTCCTATTACTTAATTTACAGATCTCGTATGCGTGGTCTCTGTGGTGAAACCTGTCATTCGAAGTCAGCTGATTCAGGAGGGGGTCTTGCGGGTCTTGGGTAGATCGAAATCTACCAGTAGTATTTTTGTATTCTTGCACCAACCCCCGTATCTTCATTTTCCGATCGCTACCTATAAAGGCGGGTTTACACGCTACGTCTTATGTACGTATTGTCGCGCATCCAAATAGTGGACAAAACGTACGTATACACACTACGTGTTTCCCCTTCCGCTTTCTACTACAGTTCCAGTCTAGACTCTTGAATTGTGTGAAGTTTGTTTAGTGAATTTTTTGAGAGACATTTTTTATTATGGAGGAAACACGGCTGCTTTCTTTTACTTTTTCAACTATAAGGACACAAGGACTGGGAGAAAAAGGGATGAAGAAGGCAAAGACAAGATGGTCAAAGGAGTGACTTCTGAAAAGAAGCCAGTATTCCCACGTCTCGTTATTGAAACATCTCAGCCTATTGTCAATTGCTAGAGTTAGTAACAGAGATCTCTGATGCCCTTACTTTTTTCAACACTTTTGTGTAAACCGATCTCAACGAGTTTATTTTTTGTCTATTTGCCATCGATTCTATATCTTTGTATTTTTTTAATATTAACATCCTCATACGCGACGTTTTTTTTTATTGCGGTCACTACGGTCTTTATTTTTCACTAGCCACAAACACAGAAAACTTTGATATATACTAAGTGATATATAAATCCGAACACCCAGTTTAAATGCTTTTGTTTTAATAAAAGTTGGTGACTGTATTTATCTTACTGTAAATAACAAGTGAAAAAATTTTCAGCCTTATCAGTTGGACATTCCGGTTTTATACTGCTTTTTTTTAATTCACTAACGCTCTAAAAATGAATATTTCAGCCGCAGTAAAGGATCAACGTTGGCGGATTTTGGTTCTTGACATCCTTTACGATCGGTTACGATGCCTAGAGTACGGAGACCTGTACGATTTCGTCAACTTAGCGAGTTTGATAGGGGCCGTATAGTGGGACTTCGGGAAGCTGGACTTTCTTTTCGGGCAATTGCAGTTAGAGTGCAAAGAAGTGTAGACACTGTGGTTAGGTGTTGTCAGGCATGGCTTCGAGAAGGCCGTACGCAAAGAGCAAGTGGCACTGGACGCCGCCGTAGAACAACAGACCGTGAAGATCGCCGCCTAAGATTATTGGCCTTAAGGAACCGTTTCTCCACTACCAGGTCCATTGCAAATGAATGGTTTGCAGAACACGGAAGACCTATTGGCATGCGAAGTGTTTACCGACGAATGAGAAGTTTTGGCTTGTTTTCATACCGGCCACACTGGGCCCTCCCTTTAACTCGAGAACACCGACGTAATCGCCTTGAGTGGTGCAGACAACGGTCACTCTGGGATCAGAAATGGAACAGTATTGTCTTTAGTGACGAGTCTCGATTTTGTTTAGGCATGCACGATGGTCGTGCCAGGCTTAGAAGGCGACGTGGTGAAAGGAGGAATCCACAGTTTTTTGTTGAAAGACATGTTCATCACACTGATGGAGTTATGGTTTGGGGTACTAGATTATGGTTCCAGGTCACCTTTAACCTTCATCAGAGGTAACATGAACGCGCAGCGTAATATCCACGAAGTTCTAGAACCCCATCTTTCACCCTATCTTGACACCCTGGCAGATCCAACTTTCCAACAAGATAATGCCCGACCACATGTTGCAAGAGTCACAATAGACTTCTTTCAACATAATGATGTCACATTGTTACCATGGCCACCAAGATCTCCCGACTTATCCCCAATTGAGCACGTGTGGGATATGATGGGTGCAACCACACATTATTAAAGGTCAAAGGGCTTTAAAGCATTTTGAAATTTTTATCATTTACTTATTATGCTTCATTAAGTACTTATACAAAATTTTATTAAAATAAAACCATTTAAACTGGGTGTTCGGATTTATATGTCACTTAGTATATTTCAATTAATCCCCCGACAAAATCGTGGGTGCATTGCCGCAAGTCATTATTAAGTTTTTTGGGGGGAAAAAGAAACCGAACTGAAGCGGTGCTACTCGTGAACTGAGCCAAAATCGGACGTATTGTCTGAACATGAGTCGACACGTTTCGTTTTGTCCTGATGCTTCTCCCATCAGTTTTTCAATCTGACCTTGGATTTCATTTCGATTCGACATGCTGTTTACACGCTACGTTTTATTGGACAGGATTTGTCCTGTCCCGCAAAACGCTCAATAAGACGTAGCGTTTAAACCCGCCTTAAAATGCACTTGAACCACGTGTTTATTGAAGTAGATGAAATGCTGTAGGATCCGCGTCTGCGTTTGGATTGATACAATCAGCTTACTGCTTCTGCTGCAGTAGAAACGTCTATGCGTAGTATACTTTGGAAATTACCGTATATACCCGGAAATTTTATTTTTGGCTTTTTGTAATCATATTACTGCCTATGATTTCCGATGTTTCCCTATACAGATTCCTGTTCATTATTAACGGTTTAACTTGCCGTTTTAGATTACTTTGGAAATCGTCCAACTGTACACTTTCGTCTGGAGTATCCACACCACATGTTAGTGATATCAAACTAACATAGCAACGATCTGTTTTCGTAAGTGAACAAATTGAACGTCAAGGTGGTTCTAGGTGGATTATTCACTGCATTTTGGCACTCATTTTTGACTAATAAATAGCTGTTTCGGGATTATTATTCTATTTCTATTCTGCCTGGATCAACGCGGTGCTTGTTTCTTCTATTTCAATCCTTTTTGGTGGCCAAAATTCTGCTGAGGTTCCTAGTTCTAACATTAACCGTTCACACAGTTGTTCTCCAGCTATATTATAAAGGGTGTCTCAACAAGAGCGCCGGATATAAATTTACCGCCATTTTTGTTGTACAATTTTTTTTTTTATATCGAAACAGCCGCGCAGGCAGAAGCCTAAATGCCGGAACACCGCGGCTGCTATGATGATCCCAAAGAAATTTTGTTAATACGATTTTTGAACTGCCTAAGGTCGGTAGAACTGGGAAAAGCTTCCGCCCGTAGATTGTTCCACAATCTAGACACCCTCGGGACAAAGGAGCGGTCGTATCGGCCAGTTCTGGATGTACGAAGTTTGACACGGTTAGGATGGGACGCCGAAGTCAGGCGGGTCTGTCTGGCAGGCACATCGCGCGGCGGCATCATCGAAGAGAGCTCTGAGGAGCAAAGCCCGTTGGTGTAGCGATAGAAAAGAGCTAGATCGCCGACGACCTGCCGGTGCGAAAGGGTCCCGAGACTGTCTGTTAGAGAAGAGTCATCGATCAGTCGGACCGCCCTCCTCTGGACAGCATCGAGCATGGACAATGTAGTCGGGGCGGCAGCACCCCAAATGTGTGAGCAATACTCGAGGCTAGGCCTTATCTGGGCCTTATATAGAGTGAGAAGGTCATGCGGAGAAAAGTACTTCTTAGCCCTAAACAAATAGCCTAGCTTTTTCCCAGCAGCTGCAGCTATTGAAGAGATGTGTTCGTGCCAGATCAGGTCCTCGGTGATCTGGACTCCGACCAGCCGAAATGAATGGCTCTTTGGTAGAACTCGACCGTCCATCGAAACTGTATGAGCGCTAGGATGCTTTTTGTTCGTCAAAGTACAGTACTGTGTTTTGGAAGCATTGAACTGTACAAGATTGTTGCGTCCCCAAGCAGTGATAGCCTCCAGGTCTCTTGTCAGAGAAGACGTCTTCTTTTTTCCAGCTCAGCGGCAGAGATCAGCTTGTCACTCTGAATTCCTGCATGTAGAGTGCTGTCATCAGCGAAGCTGTGGAGTGGGTTGATCGTGCAGGAAAGGAGGTCGTTGATATGTAAGAGAAACAGTGTTGGAGCCAAGACCGATCCCTGGGGAACACCCGCGTTGACGTTGTGGGATGAAGAGGAGAATCCGTCAATTACGACGGATATCTTGCGGCCAGAGATGAAGTCAGCCACCCATCTGCAAAGCTTTTCTGGGAGGCCGTAGGATGGAAGTTTGCTTAAGAGGGCAGCGTGCCACAGCTGATCGAACGCTTTCGTGATGTCAAGAGCAACGACATGAGCCTCACCATGAGACTGGATGAGTTTACTCCACAGTTGCGTGACGTAAGCTAGGAGGTCCCCTGTGGATCGTTGGTGCCGGAAACCGTACTGCCTGTCGCTAATCAGGCTGTGACGTTCGAGGTAGTCCAGAAGCTCGCGATTTATGCACCTCTCCATTACTTTACTTATAACAGAAAGCAGAGCTATAGGCCTGTAGTTTTAAGGGTCGGTCTTAGATCCTTTTTTTGGGATGGGCTGTACATGAGCAAATTTCCAGTTTTCTGGGAAGGTGCCGGATTCATAAGATATCTGGAAGAGACGCGAAAGAACTGGAGCAAGCTCCGCTGCACATCTCTTCAGTACAATGGCAGGAATCAAGTCCGGACCAGAAGCTTTGTTGATGTCGAGCGACAAGAGCACTCGTCTTACGGCCTTATGCCTGAATGTTACCTCCCGCATAGTGTGGGGAACCCTTTGAATTAACGGCACTTGGGCGTTGATGGGGACGTCCATGGTGGAGTTGGCAGCAAAGATGTTGGCTAGCACTTCCGCCTTGGCCTTTGAGTCGAATACAATAGTTCCATCCTGACACGTAAGTGGTGGAAGGCTACTGTGTGAGAAGTACTTTTCAATCTGCTTGGCCAGCGTCCAGAAAGACCGACTGCCATTGCGCTGCGACATTACCCTGTGCCTAACTTTTATATCATGCTAGTTTTTGGCAATGCGAACCGCTTCGTTATATTTTTTTTCTGGACTCGACGTCGGCTTGTCTGTTCTCTACAGTGGGGTTTTGTAAGTAGGTTCTGTGGGCCTTGATCTTCTGCTGGCGAGCAGTGTCACACGATTTGTTGAACCAGCCGTTGGACCCTGGTTTAGAAACTTTCACTGTGTGAGGGATGTATTCCTCCATTCCGACGTGGACAATTTCGGTTATTGAAGAACAGACAGTCGACGCATCCGCGTCAGTGAAACAGACATCTCTCCAAGGAAAGCTAGAGAAGAAGTCTCTGAGCCCCTCCCAGTCGGCATGTCCGTAATGCCAAGTTTTGCGGCCTGTGCGAGTTTCTGCTGCCACAGCGGCTTCTGACCGAAACCTAACCTCCACAACACCGTGATCTGAGTTACCCAGGGGGGACAGGACAGCACTGCTGTAAGGGGCAGGATGCGTGGTCAGAAGGAGATCCAGCAGGCCACTGGCGTGTGACGAGACGCGGGGGAAAAAAGTAGGGCTCGTCACCAGCTGGGTCAGCCCTTGAGTAAGAGCGAACGTTTCGACTGCACGACCTGCTGCATCGGTCTTATTTGAGCCCAACCAAAGCTCATTATGGGCATTGAAATCACCGAGAAGAACTACCTCTGAAGCGGGGTGATTGATGTTCAGGAAGTCGATCTGGACGGCGAGGTATTCGAGTAGGTCATCCCAGTTATGGTTCGAGGGAGAGCGATAAAGGCAGCAAATAAATTTGGGTGATGTTTTGGAGTTGAGGCGAAGCCACAGAATGTCCTTCCGGTCTGATTCCAAAGAAAGATCCCTGGAGCAGGAAAGACTGCTGCGGACAAAAGCCACAACTCCCCCGTTCTTTCTCAGATTAGAGTGCACCTCGTAGTTTGGGAAGTTGAGATGGTTAATCGGTGCAGTCTCTGAGATTTTTGTCTCCGCCAAGAAAAGCACGGCGGGACGATTGGATTGCAGGTAGTGATGAACAGCATCAATGTTGCTGTTGATCCCGCAGATGTTCGAAAAACAAATTTTATCTTCGATGTTGTTCCCTCGAGCCCACCCTCCACCCGGACATTCCGAGAGTGGAGTGAGTTTACGTCCGGAGTTCTTAGTGCTCGAGGGATCCATCATCATTAATTTCTTTGTTTTGGTAGATAACCGACTGCATAGCTTAGGTGTGGAAACATGCGGACATTTATTAGACACCCTGGGAAAAGCTAGCGGGTGGTACTGGTCCTTGTCTACCACCTTCTTTTTACGTGTTAGTGATATTAAATAGACCTAAAGTGGCCCGTTGGCGGACTTGTACCGCCACCCGGCAATCGGTACTGAGGTATTCCTTAACGCGTGCACAATCACTTGGACGGAACAAGCATTTGCCACGGCCCTCGCTCAGTAGGGGCAGACTGAATGAATAACGAAATTAGAGACATACCGGTCACCATGAGGAGCCGGCGCATAGGCCGCGTAAACAGGCCCTTATTCACCGCTACATTCCCTAAGACTCAAGCTCCACCCTTCTAGCAAACTTGAGTATAGCCCTGAGTCCCAGCTCCTTAACATTCTGGGGATCTAAAGTGTTAGAGCCCATTATATTCTGCCTGCAGTAGAGTATCGATACAGAACATGCGCCGAGGACTCTTCCTCTATCTCGTCGCGCTCAGACATGAGATCCTCAGCCCATCTCCACATGCAGGTGGAGCTTCATCGTGTTATGGACAGACAACAGTCCCACCAGCAACCTGAGGTTGGCTCTATCCAAAGATAAGCAGGAGCGTCCAACCTTAACACTAAGCCCTATGATGAGCTCCCGGAGATGCTTCTCCGTTTCTGAGTGTGTTGTCACTTTTCCATTTCCTGACTCTTTGCGCGGATACCCCTAGAGCTGGCTCAGGACCAATAAGCTTGCTTGCTGATCCTGCTCTCTCAATTTTGTTTTTCCCAGCATGTCCTCTTACGATGCCGGATGTCTCACTGCTAGACTATCCAGAGCCTTCGTGCATTGTAACGGATGTCCTTCCCCCTCCAAAATGCAGGATACTCAAGCCAGAATCGCATAGATTTCCGCCTGGGAAATAGTGGTGGATCCGCCAAGAGGCACAGATAATCTACCGCTTACTATACAAGTATTTTTGTATACTAAGCGACATATAAATCCGAACACCCAGTTTAAATGGTTTTATTTTAATAAAATTTTGTATAAGTACTTAATGAAGCATAATAAGTAAATGATAAAAATTTCAGAATGATTGCACTGCTTTAAAGCCCTTTGACCTTTAATAATGTGTGGATGCACCCTGATGTGCTACGAATTCTCCAACGCGCCTAGGCATGCATCTGATCAGGTGGTCAATGTCCTCCTGTGGTATCTCATTCCAGGCAACCACCAACTCCTCTCGAAGTAATTCTAGAGTCTGAGGAGGACGTTGCAAATTGAGCAATCTCCTACCCATCATATCCCACACGTGCTCAATTGGGGATAAGTCGGGAGATCTTGGTGGCCATGGTAACAATGTGACATCATTATGTTGAAAGGGTGTCAAGATAGGGTAAAAGATGGGGTTCTAGAACTTCGTGGATATAACGCTGCGCGTTCATGTTACCTCTGATGAAGATTAAAGGTGACCTGGAACCATAAGCTATAGCACCCCAAATCATAACTCCAACAGTGTGATGAACATGTCCTTCAACAAAAAACTGTGGATTTCTCCTTTCACCACGTCGCCTTCTAACCCTGGCACGACCATCGTGCATGCCTAAACAAAATCGAGACTCGTCACTAAAGACAATACTGTTCCATTCCTGATCCCAGAGTGACCGTTGTCTGCACCACTCAAGGCGATTACGTCGGTGTTCTCGAGTTAAAGGGAGGACCCAGTGTGGCCGGTATGAAAACAAGCCAAAACTTCTCATTTGTCGGTAAACACTTCGCATGCCAATAGATCTTCCGTGTTCTGCAAACCATCCATTTGCAATGGTCCCTTAAGGCCAATAATCTTAGGCGGCGATCTTCACGGTCCGTTGTTCTACGGCGGCGTCCAGTGCCCCTTGCTCTTTGCGTACGGCTTTCTCGAAGCCATGCCTGACAACACCTAACCACAGTGTCTACACTTCTTTGCACTCTAACTGCAATTGCCCGAAAAGAAAGTCCAGCTTCCCGAAGTCCCACTATACGGCCACTATCAAACTCACTAAGTTGACGAAATCGTACAGGTCTCCGTACTCTAGGCATCGTAACCGATCGTAAAGGATGTCAAGAACCAAATCCGCCAACGTTGATTCTTTACTGCGGCTGAAATATTCATTTTTAGAGCGTTAGTGAATTAAAAAAAAGCAGTATAAAAACCGGAATGTCCAACTGATAAGGCTGAAAATTTTTTCACTTGTTATTTACAGTAAGATAGATACATTCACCAACTTTTATTAAAATAAAACCATTTAAACTGGGTGTTCGGATTTATATGTCACTTAGTATACTTACAAAATCAGAAAAGTGTTTTCATACTGCAGCAGTTTATGTTGCCAGCATTCTGAAAATTAGTGAAACAATTTTTTTACCAGTCGTCATACTTAATATAAAATTAGAGTAAAAACATCTGAGAAATGATAAAATCGTTTTTTATTCCATCGACGCAACGTGGAAAATTCTTGATATGAAGTTCTTCCTCACAATATGTCCTTTAAAAACACATTTTTAATTCCAAATGGTACCAAAGAAGTGGGAACACATCAACGCAGATCCCTTGTAATGAAAAATAGCAAATGGTACGTTACATCGACATAGTGTCCCTGGTTGCTTTTTTCTTTTATTTTGCTGCTATACTAATTTGTGTAGCATGGATTGGGATTATTTCTGGTGTACTGGTTTTATTTTTCTTTTCACTTTTCAGCTGATTATATGCATGATTTTAGGATAAGATGTTCACTACTCAGCAAATGCTTGCAATTATCGCATAATGCATGTGTATAGGTATTTTTATGCAGGGTATCTCGAAGGCGAATCAGGATTTCTAAATTAAATAAAATACTACACATTTTGAGAATAATGTTTTATCCTGAATCGATGGGTTTAATTTCCTCCATTGTGTTGTATGAACTCATGGTATTGGATATTCATGGCGCTGGAGCATAGCGGATTAAATTTTGCTTACTTTGCAACGTGTATTTTTCCCAAATTAGCGATAACCTTCGAAGCATTATCCTATTGTTACGAAAAAACGTCCACATCGCTAGGGTCGATCTTTATAATAAACACTTTTCAGTAATTTACACGATCGATTTCATTTTTAAAATTTTCGAAAATAAAATGAACGCAAAAAAAAATAGAAATCGCCCAAATTTCGTTTTTTGACGTTCCTGACCATTTTCGGAAAATTTTTTGTAGGGATCAAAAATTGAGGGTTAGGGGTTGCACGAAGTGAGGGACGGCAAATATAATTTTTTACGTTGGGATTTTTATTCGACTCCAATCCCAGTAAAAAAACTTTGAAATATCTCATACAGCCGAGTGTCGATATGTGCGACGTGGTCCACGGGATGGACAAGCGTGGATGTCGGTGGTCATACGTCACAGTCGGCAATCGCGGCCGCACTGTGCGTGGTGAAGGCGAATATCGCCATTCACGCGGGATTCGTCATCGCAACGATCATGTACGCCTGCAGTGATTTCTCTCAGGGGGAAGAGGAACGTCATTTAATTTCTTGTTCGTCGCTAACAGGATGCATGGTATTCCTCCTTAAGTTAGTTAGATGTTTCCTGGCCACCGCGTTCATCAGGTTCGACATCCATTGACTTTTCCTATGGGTATTTCAAGAGCAAAGCTTGTGATAATAGGTACTCCGAGGAATATATCGCTGACTTGAAAGAAAATACCCGTCGCGAAATAAACTTACCTACTATGCTGCAACGTGAAAAGGAGGGCATTTACATGACGTGATCTTGAAAAAATAAAATCCGCACATCACTAAAATGTTTAGTGTTTTCCAATTTAGCTTAGAAATCCTAAATCCTATCTGGGACGCCCTGGACATTTTACACCTAGCAAACAGCAACATTGGATCATCGAATTTTTGCACTCGCCACATATGCATGATTTTTTTACAATTTAGCTATTAATATCAGAGTATTGTTGACAAAATGCATACTGATGACTCGATTTTGATTATCAGATCAAAACTATTTAGTTGGCAATACGTTCTGATATTTTGGAAAATCCTCATTCATTATGCGGAAATACTGAAAAATTCGATTTTCTTCCAGGTACTACGTGTTCATTGGAAAACCGCATCTTGCACAGACGATGGTCACATCTCAGAACACCCGGACGAGTCACATGTCGTCATCAGAAGTGGGAGACTACAAAATGTCAGACATGAGAAATGGAAGAGCGGAAGAGAGAGCGCTGAGGTCTTGAAGAGATTTTTGAAGGTTTATGTGGGATATAATTTCATCATGTGCTGTTACATGTGAATATTTTATTTATTACGCGTTTTATACACCCTCAAAGATCACAATACTACACAGGAACGCAACTTTCTCAAGGCTCCCCAGTTATTCCATATACCGGGGATCTCAAATTCGACTCTCACAATAATTGAGATCTCGGTTAGAGATATAAAGTAGCTTATGGCGGTTGGTCACGGTTCTGTATGTTGTTTTTCTGTAACCGCTGGTGGTACACATGATTTAATAATGATATTATGGGTTCTTTACACTTTCTTCAAAAATTTACGAATTATTTTTGATCTAATTTTTTGGATCTTATTTCCGTGCCTTCCCGAAAAATATCAATGCTACCGAGTTAAACCACGTGTCCACATGAAGTTAAAGTCTGTTAATGACATGAGTCCACTGACATAAAATAAATTGTTTTTTCGGACAATATTATCTGATAACTTTTCTGCCAACCTTTTTTGTCATGTGTCAGATAGCTCATGACATGTAAAGAATAATATCCTGTCCACACGTGAAAAAATTTCTGAGATCGCTCAAAAAATAAACGAGATAATAAGGAAATACGATCGCGGAAATGTCCACTTCCTAATAACAAATATAGATACTTTATAGTTGAAACTGCCCTTAAATGGGCGCAATGCTGCACATTTGGGTAACTGGCGGAAAGTTTCGCGTTTCCGAGAATTTTCGGAGGGAAATGGAAAAAACTCAATTTTCAAAAATTAATTTTCATTTTATCCTGACTTTTCTACAAAAGGAATGCAAAACAAAAAGCTACTATTTCTTTTCTCAAGATGGCGTAATTGTAATTTCAATATGGCGATTCGTTTCTTGCCCACAATCATCAACTTCTTTTCTTATGAACTCCTTACTGGATTTTTGCACAAGTAAATAGAATTTTTAATTCTGAATATGTCGCGAGACCCTCTTTTCATCGAGAATTGCATTGCTGTGTATTGTTGTGTATGTTGTGCACCGCATGCCCCACCTGGCACTCTTTTCTGAGTCACCCGGTATATTAAACGACGAACGGTGAGTTCAATGTTCAAATGAACTCATACAATTTCTTATCTATCTATCTTTGATATAAGCCTTTTTACACTTGATCGCTAATCGCCATTTTCGAATATATTCAGTAAGGTATTTCTCTCAATATTAGGTGTTCAATAATTTTACAGAAGAAACGTTATTGTGCCATATAGGTGGATATTCGTCAGGATGTCACTTTTTTATCTTGTTCTTCTTGTAATTAATAATTTATTGCAGCACAGTTTTATTTAAAAATTTGATGAAAATAATCGGACTTATTTTACCATGTCTGACACTGTGTGTCTCAGCTGATGATATAAACCAAAGACTTGTGTCATAATAAGGATTATCCTTTTTGTATAGCTACTGCTCACAATGTCAAATGTCCTTAGCTATACAGTGTCAAAGACGTTTTCCCTTTCCATGTGTAAGAGAGAGATACAGAGAGGGAGAAGCGAGGACGAAGACTCGTTGCCATTGTTTCTTCTCTCTCTATTTCTCCCTCCCCTACACATAGAAATCTAAAACCTCGTCAGCACTGTATATTCACTTATATACAAACTAATTTCGGAGTTTAATTCTGGTGGGTTAAGGATATATAGTCGAAATCAGGAAAGATGACGATTACATCATCATTTTAGTCTGTAGTAAAAACAAACGACAGCGATTTGTGAATATTTTTAATGAAGTTTCAGATATGTTAGATAGAGACAAACAGAATTTTATTGTCTAAACAAACTGTATTGCAAATTTGCATGTATCCGACAAAGATAGATGATGTTTTCATGTTGCATGATCGATCATATTTGAAAGAAGAATAGTTAGGTTATGTTATAGCAGGTTAGGTAGTTTTCGAATAATACTTTGGTCTTTGGTGTTCCTGTCTTAAGGTATTTTACTCATGTTTTTTTTTCCAAAACAGAAACCCCCTACTTAAATTATTATTGATATATCACTCAAAACCATGAACTAAATGAAAATAAAAATAATCAGTGATATAACCTAACTGCGCAAAAGCATAATATACATTTTTTGCCATCATGCTCCTGACATCGTGATTTTATCATCGAGGTACTTTCATTGATTACTTCAGTACAATTTATGGTATGACGTAATAGTCATCTTTCGTGATTTTGTCTATAACTGTCTAGATACGTTAAGACATAGCCAAAGTGTTTCAAATTCGCTACGTTGTATTTGTTTTGGATACACAGATTATTATGTCTTCCTTTTGAGCTTTCCCATTTTGCGAGCAGTATAACTTAATCCAGTGCTAAATATTTTTTATATGTATATCGATATGTAGGATTAGGTGCTTGTGTACGATGTTTCAAGGTATATTTATTTCTGATTGTTGGAACATGTGACATAAAGTTCAGTGGTAGAAATGTCAAGATGGCGTCTTGTCAAACTGCAGGAACCGCACGACTCTTTTTCACGTTTAGCTTTTTGTACCTATGTAGATTTCAAATTAAGCGGCACTTTCTAAGTGTACTTACGCCTGTGTCTGCGAACTATATCATTTGACAAGATTGTTGAAATAAATTTTTTACAAAACTCATGAGATTTCTTATTTCACGATTCAGTCTAGCCAGGCTCGAATAGATATAAAACGTCGAATGGTGTGAGCTAGGAAGCGTACAATGATGGAGAAAATCATCTTGGCACAACCTTTGGTAGGTGGCTATCGTAGATTTCCATCTACTCAGGCACAATGTTTCGAGTTTTTAAAAAAAACCACATTCAATTGTTTGCTTCCCATTTCGACTGTCTTCACGAACCTAAGATCTACAGGGCGTTTCAGGACTAAGGGATCTAACTTCTGGGAGTTATTTAGTGTAACAGTAGAAAACATTTGAGAATAGGGACACATATATCCGGAAATGTGTCACTACGGCCCTAAGGCCCGTATCGTCAGTCGTCCCTACAATTGTAGGGCGCCTTTATGGCCTCCTTGATTATCATAGTTTTCTACTTCTCCATGTCAGCGCTCTATTTTGAGGTTATGTCACAAACATCTATTTGCATCAAATTGTGCTTGCTTCTGAGTTATACCATGTTTTATCAGCCTGAAATTTCCTACAATTTAAAAAGAAAACATATCTTCACAATAGGAGAGCGCTGACGCTGAAACGGGACAAGTGTAATCTAGAAATTTTCGAAGGAGGGAAAGGAGTATGACAATCAAGGATGCCATAAACGCGCCCTACAATTGACATTGACAGACCAACGTTGCTGATGCTTTCTAGGAAAAACTACATGGGGATTTTCTTTGTCCCAAACGTGGCTATTCCTACCATTAAAATGCCGTCTCTTGTGAAAGAGGTTTCATCGGCCCATAAAACATAGCGTAACAAATTTGGTTGTGCAGCGATTTGATGAAGAAGCCATTGACAAAATTGAACTCAAGGTTGATAATCGAAAGCAGTCAATCGTTGAACTTTCTGGAAGTGGTAAGGATAAAGTTGTTGCTCGTGTAGCACCCTCCAGACGGAAGCGTTACTCGTATTTATATCCTCAGCAATGTGACGTGTGCTACTTGATGGTGTGTCCGCAACCTCTTCTTCAAATTCGACCGTTCTTACGGTTCGAGCAACACCTGTATCATGCATGTTGGTTTTAAACATGCCTGTCTCGGAGAGCCGCCGATGAATAGCAATAAACTTTTTGTATCCCGGATGCTGTCGTTCGGGATAACGTTCTTGATACAACCGCGCTGCTGCTTGTGCGTTGCAGCTTGTTGCATATCCGCCAATTCTTGACTGGTAAAGTTTTCCATTAGCAACAATTAATTTTTGTTTCTTGCAAACTTCACAAATACGATAGCACGACTATGGCGATATGCAATGCAGCTACGAAAAACAATCTCTTATCGATTTTAAAGATAACAACACACAAGCTCCGGATACGGGTCCCTATACTCAAATGTTTTCTACTGTTACACTGAATAATCCCTACAAGTTTGATCCCTTAGTTCTGAAACACCCTGTATAGCACACTGATGAGTTGCTAATGAGCACGAAACAGCGCTGTCTGCGGTTGGTCATGCTTTCAGCAGATGGAAATCAAACATGTCCTTTCCAACCTAGATACAGAATTTAATAAACATGATAGCATCATTAACGTCACAAAGAAGTGAAATTACAATCATCTAGGATTTCCGAGGGTCTCTCAATCTCCAGGATCGTATCAATCACTGCATTAATGATACGGGGTTCCAAGTGCTAAACTCTTAGGCTACGGATGCGAATCCTGACGAAATTTTGTTCTGATGAGTTCTCACAATTCGTCCAAATCAACAAACACTTGTTTTCTAATAAAAGTGCTTACACAGGCAGCTACGAGCACGTCAAAGTAAGCACAACGTCGTCATAACCATTTTTACAGATTTTGATATTTTCGTACGACCCGAGCCTTTTTGCGTACTTTTACTGTGAAATGTCAGATACGAGGTCTGTAAATTAAGTGATGAGATCTGATTTCTTTAATATGCAGACTGATTCACAAGTCGTGACCAAAAATGAAACATCATACACAGAATCGCATTACATCAGACTAGCCTCTATAAGTTTCAAGTGGAAAAAGAGTGAAATCCGAAGTTCTACAAGATGCAACAGTACCCTGAGAATTTTGTATAATAAATACTTTGAACAAATTTCATTTAAATGTTCATTTTTCTTATAGCTCCAAAAATAAGTTAATTTCTGCTATACTATAACTATCTAAAACTGTAATGACTCATCGATGTTCACGTGAACATCACTTAACTACCAGTAGTCGGCTGTTCATAGGCGGGGTATGAATGTTTAACATGGGTGAACTAGATTTGTCACATGCTTAATAAAGAGTGGTTTGAAACATATTGTAAGTCAAAAATTTGGGAATTACCTTTATTCATCGTCGCTTCCACTTACATCTGACAGTAATAAACTGTCGCTATCGCTTTCCTCGTTGAAATTGACTATAACTGGCTCTATGATGGTGTCGATGTGGTGGTCAAGCTGCCACATTTTTGTTTCTTCCTTCACAACATGACGGATAGCATTCTGCCAAGCTTCGGGCGTTACTAGCTGTATGGAAGTCTCAAGTAAAACCTTAACGTCTGGTAATTTGAAGGTTGTGTTATGGCGCGCAATATAACCCTTCACTTGAGCCCAGATGAGCTCTATTGGGTTCAGTTCACAGTGGTAGGGCGGTAACCGCAGCACAGTGACACCACATTGACGGGCCATCTCATCAGTCACGTAACTAATGCTCGCAGGTTTGTGCTGTTTAATTTTTTCATACAATTCCGCTTTCACACATGAATCGTCAAACGGGATTCATTTTTCGCGCAACCATTGCTGCATGTCACTTTTTCGAGATCCCATAGTCGGTACACGTTCGGCTCGACGACTATGGTAGGAAGCATTATCGATGACGATCACAGAGTTGGGCTCAACTCGCTGAAGCACCCCTTGAAACCAGCTTTCGAAGCAGCTGGCATTCATTTCGTCATGGTAATCACCTCCTTTCTTACAGTCGAAAATCAAGTCACACTCTTCTAAAAAGCCACTATCGCTACCAATATGAGTTACGATCAATCTTTGACCTTTCCCTGACGGTCCACGAAGACCTGTTGACAAACCTTCAATGCTTGCTTGTCGGTTACTCACTAGGTTTTTGTCTATCCAGGTTTTTTTAACTGTGTGACCTGCATTTACCCAAGTCTCGTCCAAATAATAGATTTTTCTGCTTTGTCGCCTATATTCAATCATTTCACGTAGGTATTTTCGACGCCAGGCGACTATTTCAGGTCTCTCTATCAATACTGACTTCCGATTACGCGTTTCGTAACGAAAATTAATTTCGTGCAGGGATTTCCTCATTACCTCGACGCTCATTTGGGGTATAATTCCATTTTCCTTGATCGCCGCATGTACAGCCTTGAGGGTTGGTATCTCATTCCTAAAGAAGAATGAATGTACGGTTCGCCTTAACGCCATTTTGCTATCGTCATCCAATTTAACGGCCTTTCGTCCCTTCAAATTAAACTTTGGATCAGTAGTAGCTCTAGTTTTCTTCTTTTCATGCACCACCCTGGGAATGGTCCACTCTGGAACGCCTGTCATACTTTCACAACGCGCGAGTGCATCTCCCTGCGACATAGTTCTGTTCAGATAATTGAACACGTTGAGCACGATTTCTTTCGCGTCCCTCTTCAGTGCTTTACGAAGCCGTCTACTTGTTCCCTGGCTTTCAGTACTTCCACTCGTGCCATTTGTACTCTCCATGGTTAAGTATAACCAAAACAGTAACCACAGAAACCACAACAATAACAATCACACAACAATTCTTATAAAAACACACAATATGCGATCGCTCAACGAAACACGTTCCAATGCGTTGCCGACGCCTATGAGTCTTCCGGTCGAGGCGCGTCTTTGATTTCATTGGTTCTACCGGCGGAGAACAATCAGCCATTATTTCCATCTCTGTCTGTGCTGTTGACCACCGCAAAGCCACAGAAACGACATATGTCGTACGCTATACGGCTGTACTGGAAGGAAGCCGGGATCGAGCTCTGATCACGTGTTGATCACGCGTATGAGTCATTACAGATTTAAATAGTTGTAGTATAGGCGGATTGCAGCCCAGTTGCCATGTTCCCAAAGTCTTGCGTGGAGAATTTTAAATCCTTACCATCGGCAAAATGTGCAATGTCTGCAACCCGGCGACGAAGTGCAACGGCGAAATTTTTGTGAGTGGTTACAGCAAATGCGTAATCACAATGCAGCTTTTATTGATCTGGTGTTGTGGTCAGATGAAACCCTTTTTCGAGGAGTGGAATCTTTAATTCTCATAATGAACTTATTTGGTCGTTGGAAAATCCCCGTTCTGAAAGGATCCACTCGTTTCAACACAGATTTTCTAGAAATGTCTGGTGCGGCATTTTCAATGGCCAGCTGTTTTATGCACGTATTGTACTTTTAAATGAAAATTCATAATTAGCTTTTCTAGAGAATTATAAAGAAAATGTGTTAGGAACGAGAGTACGAATGTGGTATCAGCTCGACGGGGCCCCACCGCATGTTCGTCGTGACATAACCCCATGGTTAAATAATCTTTTTAGACAACGATGGATTGGCAGAAATTCAAGCCACAACAAATTTTGCGAAAATACGTTTATCTTTATTCAAAAGATGCCACACTTGAATCTGTCGACTGTCCCAAAATGATCTCCCTTCAGGTTACTTTTCAACTTCGGTATGAGAAAAAAGTCACGACTCAAAAACTGGTCTACGGTTAAAAAAATATGGTTTCCTGACAAATTTTTATATGGGGCCCCTCAGAATACGTTTATTTGACAAACACCTCAACCGGGAGTAATCAGTAGTCAATGGCGTTGGCTGGATCAAAGAATATATAGTCTAGTGCAATTAACTTCGCAAGTTGATCAGATAAACACCATGGCTGGAAATAGTCGTTTAGTCCTGGTAAAATAAAGGACAAAAGACATGGTGACGAAGGCTAAATAAAATCATACATACACTTATGTAATATCTATTAAATGAACAAGAACCAAACAACTAATAGAAAATAATTATGTACAAAATAAAATACACACAAGTATATTCCTAAGCATAAGCATCCTCTCGATCAGCGCCTGCCCCATCGCCGTCTTCCAAAGACGAAAAATTAAGGAAATGAGCTGGTCTATGGATTTCATGATAGAACTCCTTTGGATTAGCAAGTTGCAGTTCGTATTTCATGTTAGGATCGTGACGAACACCTAAAAGAAAAATAAGTATGTAATGAAGAGTCCTGGAAAATATGGAAAATACTAGTTACAGAAGTCCATAGACGCCATAGATAAACTGCAGATATCATGGTTTATTTTCAAATAATCGGTATCGTAACATTTGCAACAGTTTTGAACGTTTGTGTATTCCTGGTAATGTTTCAGTTGCGCAAATTTTTCACATTTCTGCTGCATATAATAATTTCGTAAGAAACAAACTAAAAGTCATTTCGACACAGGTCACACAAAAAAATGTTAACTTACCCATGAAGTTGTAGTTCCAAGACCCTTGAGCAGGCACCATGAAGAATCCCAGGAACCTGTCAGAGAGCAGCATCTGAACCTTCTCATAATGACTTGGTAGGTACCCCTTAGGGTTGTTGCCTTTATCGGTATTTTGTCTACCCCATTCGTAACCAGATGGCGTTAGTTTGTATGCTGTTAAGGAGCAAGAACCTGGAAAAAATGAAATTGTATGATTATTAGCAATGGACGTAAGATTTGCCATAAAGCAGTAATACAGCATTCCCTTGTCCCACCACAGACAGCCAACCATGGAAAGCTTTTTCGTGTTATTTGGCAACTTGTCCAGGTAGAATAACGAACAAAATCTGAGCAACTATCCTCTATTCAGGATGTAAGATATTGAAATGAGACAGCAGAAAGTGCCATCTGTTACCAGAATCGAACCCTACGAGAGTTATATTGTTTGTTTCTGCTACTGTGTCACAGATGGCGTTAGGATCTTCAATCACTCGCTGATGAGTATTTTAAGTGGGCCTTTTCAGATGGATACCAAATTATCTTAGCGCCATCTATGAGGCAGTAGCATGGCGCTCGACAACTTTATAGTGTTCAGTTTACATTTTTTTATCGACGATCGTAAAACAGCCATAAAAGCGAGAAGCCGGTTTCGCTGTATATCTAACGGGTGATTTTTTAAGAGGTATAGGATTTGATTTTCAAAAAAAAACACAAAAAATTTGAAAAAACGATAAAATCTTTATTTGAGTCGATAGAACGGTCGATATAATTTAATGTTTAAAGATTATTTCATGTAAATGTTGGCCGCGGCTCCGCTTTAGATGGCCCATGCGCAAGGTCTAATTTTGGCACACTCTCTCCAACATATCGGCCGGTATCTCACGAATAAATGCTTCAATATTGGCTTCCAGTGCGTCAATCGTTGCTGGTTTATCCCTGTAGACATTAGCCTTAACATGGCCCCACAAAAAATAGTCCAACGGCGTTAAATCACACGATCTAGGCGGCCAATTGACGGGCCTCAAACGTGAGATAAACTGTTCACCGAACTCACCTCTCAATAGGGCGATTGTTTCGTGTGCGGTGTGGCATGTGGCACCGTCTTGTTGGAACCACATGTCAGCCAAGTCCAGCTCTTCCATTTTTGGCAAAAAAAGTTTGTTATCATCGCACGGTAGCGCTCGCCGTTCACAGTTACGTTGCGGCCATTGTCGTCTTTGAAGAAGTACGGCCCGATGATGCCACCGGCCCATAATCCACACCAAACAGTGATTTTTTCGGGATGCATTGGCAGCTCTTGCAATGCTTCTGGTTGGTCTTCACTCCAGATGCGGCAATTTTGCTTGTTAACGTACCCATTCAACCAGAAATGAGCTTCGTCGCTGAACACAATTTTTCGAAAAAAATGTGGATCTTCTTCCAACTTTGCCAGCGCCCATTCACCAAATTGGAAACGTTGTGGGAGGTCGTGTGGCTTCAATTCTTGCACCAGCTGTATCTTATAAGGTTTTACACCCAAATCCTGTCGCAAAATTTTCCACGTAGTGGAGTAACAGAGGCCCAATTGCTGCGAACGGCGGCGAATCGACATTTCACGGCCATCACTAACACTGGCGGATACAGCCGCAATATTTTCTTCAGTCCTCACTCTACGTCTGCGTGTTGGTGGTTTAATGTCCAATAATGTAAACTGGGTTCGAAATTTAGTCACAAGCTTCTGAATAGGTCCCTCAGTAGGCTGACCAAATTGTCCATAAATTGGAAGCAGTGCTCGATGCACTCTCATAACCGAGCATGAATTTTGATAGTAAAATTCAATAATTTGCAAGCGTTGTTCGTTCGTAAGTCGATTCATGGTTAAATTATAGACCAAACTGAATAAGTTTGACAATGACACAAGACACGATTCACGCGTCATCTGTCAAAAACAGTGTTGCCAAAAAGATACTAGCAAAAAAATCACCCATTATAAGCTGAAGCAAATTAAATATAACAAAAAATTAAAGGCGCAGTAATGGCTTTCCAGTTGGTTACTGAAAATTGCAGAAGAGCCATAGAAATTGTCAAAGCAGTATTTTTGGATTTGACAAAGGCATTTGAAACAATCGGTATTGATATTTTGTTAAGTAAATTGAAAGCATATAGTATATCAGGCAGTTATTTCGACTAGTTTGAAAATTATCTGTCTAAGAGGGTGCAACTTACAAAAGTTAATAACATTATTTCATCAAAAATTGAAAATTCGTTAGGTGTTCCACAGGGCAGCATCCTGGGACCACTTCTTTTTATTATATACGCGCCATAGGTGAATGGAGTGGGGCGACGTCGTGGTATATTTTGGGTGGGGATGTCAGGGATTTTCATAAAGTTTTTGTCGCGACAGGACGTAAAAACTTCCGAAATTTTGCGTCGATTAACAGCATAGTTCGGCGATAAGACAGTTTCAAGGATACAAGTATACGACTGGCAATTTTTTTTTCATTGAGTGGCGAAAGCCTGGAGAGGCAGCACCGCGAAAAGCCAAGACCAGTCTTTCTGAAGGAAAAGTTCTTGCAACTATTATGGGATTCCAGAGGTGTACTGCTAATTGGTTTCCGTACAGTTAATGCTGCTTACTACGGCCAACTGCTCATCGCCGAAAAAGGCGAGACTGCATATTCCAAGTGCCATTCTGCTCCATGACAACGCTCAGATACACACAGCTGCATCGACCCAAGAAAAATTACGCGAAATTAATTGGGAAACACTTGAACACCCGGCCTACAGTCCCGATTTGCCGCCATGTGACTATCACACGTTTGGGCTACTTAAAGAAGACCTGGGAGGTCACCACTTATTATATTTCCACCATGTCCATACATACATAATACCAGAAATAAAGATGACTTTTATTTAATGTCCAAAAAATAATATGTTACAAATCTTTATTTTATCAAGCGTTGATTGAATATAATGAATTAAACACAGAGATAAAAGACCTGAATACTTAAACAAAATAGTAAATTTGAGGAATTGTTAAATCTACAATTAAAAAAAGTACTGCTTTACAATTATTCTGTTTATGTAGCGAACCGGGGTAAATAACACTGATCAACAGCCAAAAAATATCCTAAATAAAATCAACAAAATATTACTATTTTTAATGTGCTAAAACCGGAATGAACCTTATTTTTTCAATATTAGTTCAAGTTTTAGAGATACCGTAATTATATGTGTTCCTGCTGTGACAGTGTTAATATACTGTAATTCACAAGAATGCACGTGCTACATTTTTATATTCGGCAAGGAAAGATGATGTAATCGGCATGATTGTGTTACGTTATACATACGTGTACATTATATTGTTTTATATTAGCCATTTTTTCCTCAGTTGGCTGACAGCGTTCATGCAAGATGTCTCGAAAGTGTGTAAACAATCCAGATCAGTTTTTTTACGTGTGTGGTGATGTGAGTTTTGCGTCTCAGAGACGGTCTATTACTCCACTAATAACAAAGGCATATCAGCTTTATTTCGGTTGTAAACTAGGTGATCAAGACAAACAGTGGGCACCCCACATCTGCTGTAATACATGTGCTTCAAGTCTGAGGAGCTGGTTAAATGGCAAAAAACGGTCTATGCGCTTTGCTGTCCCAATGGTTTGGAGAGAGCCTACAAATCATATTAATGATTGTTACTTTTGCATGGTACCTTGTGTTGGACAAGCCACAGGTATGTCCAAGAAAAAAAAATCGGTTATTAACTACCCAAACATACCATCTGCGATGAGACCTGTGCCTCACAGTGACGAAAATCCTATCCCAAAACCCCCAGAATCCTACACTTGCGAATCAGAAAACGAATCAGATCATGGCGATCGAGTGATTCGTCAGGAAGAAGATATGACATCAACGTCAAGAGATCCTGATTTTATACCGAGCACGTCATGCCACCAACCGCACAAAATAACACAGTCAGAATTAAATGATCTTGTAAGAGATTTAGAACTTCCAAAATGTAAGGCAGAGTTACTTGGATCAAGACTGCAGCAGTGGAAATTGTTAGAAGACGATGTTTCGGTATGTGTTTTTCGTAAACGCCACAAAGACTTAGAACCATTTTTCAATATGGAGAATAACTTGGTTTTCTGCAGTAACATTAACGGCTTACTGGCGGCTTTAAATATAAACTATAACCCAGAAGAATGGAGATTGTTTATAGACTGTTCAACATTGAGTTTAAAGGCAGTATTATTGCATATTGGAAATATTTTACTATCTCTTCCTGTAGGGTATGCAGTTCACATGAAAGAATCATATGACAATATGAAGTACCTATTGACATGCATAAAATACGATGAGCACCAATGGCATACTTGTGGCGATTTGAAAGTTGTTGCACTTTTACTTGGGCTGCAGCTAGGCTACACAAAGTTTTGCTGTTTTTTGTGTGAATGGGACAGTCGGGCAAAGGCACTTCATTACACCAGACAAAACTGGCCTGTTCGTCAATTCCTAGAGCCAGGTCAAAAAAATGTACAGCATATGCCATTAGTAGATTCGAAAAAAATTTATTATCACCACTGCATATCAAGTTGGGCCTAATGAAAAACTTTGTCAAGGCATTAGATAGAGATGGGTCAGCTTTTCAATACCTGCGTCAGAAATTTCCAAGACTAAGTGAGGCAAAGGTTAAAGAAGGTATTTTTGTTGGGCCACAGATTCGAAATATTTTGAAAGATACACAGTTTGAAAACACTAACAGGTATTGAAAAAACTGCTTGGAATGGTTTTCGTCTGGTGGTCACTAATTTCTTGGGTAATAGAAAAGCTGACAACTATAAAACCCTTGTCAAAAATATGCTGTCATCGTATCAAAAGATGGGCTGTAATATGTCTCTTAAGATACATTTCCTACACTCACACCTGGACTTTTTTCCTGACAATTACGGAGCCGCAAGTGATGTGCACGGCGAACGTTTTCATCAGGATATTTCAACAATGGAAAAAAGGTACCAGGGAAAGTGGAATCCTTCCATGCTTGCAGACTACTGTTGGACTCTTGGTAGAGATGCTCCAGAAACGATCCATAAAAGAACAGCAAAAAGACAGCGCATATAGTGATCCTTATAAGTATATGAATCTTGTTACTTTTTTAATATATCCTTAAAAATAAAAAGTTTTTTCTAAACCGCAACTAATTTTTTTATTTCATTGTCATTTTTGGATTCAGCGCCCCAAAATTAACAAAGAAGTGCACTTTTCCCACAAGATACAATTAAAAAACTAAAATTTGTTGTCCAGTGTAATTATTTCAACTACTACTATCAAAATTTTGCAAAATTGCTACTGCAGCGATTCACTCTAATGTAAAACAAACATACCTGGAGTAAATGAGCAAGTAATGATGATGGATTTCTCGCCATCCCAGTTCGGATTGTCGGCCATGAGTTTGGCGTGCGCGGTGACATCTTGCGGCGACAACTGCGGCAATTCGTTGGGTTGCGTGTGCATCCAACCTAAAGGTTCCATATCAGCCAAGAATGGGTGGTTTGGAGGCGTGCTCGGCACGTGAACAGTTTGGTGGGTGCCCCATTGTGGAGCTAGGACGAGACAACGCAGCTCCTTTACCTAATGATAACAATAGAAGGCACTAAGTGATATGTAAAAGTAAACTACTTTTATTCACAGAAAAATTATAGAAACAAGTCATAACTACTGTACTCGTGCAAATGTGGGCAGGCAAATAGAAATTCCCAAGAATAACAATAACCTAAACTTAAGATACATAACATATATAGGACCAAAGATATACAGGGTGACTTTGAAGTTGAGTCATTAATTTTCAGATAATGATTGTAGAAGGAAGATAAACCAAAATATGCGTGTAAAAATAAAAAAAAATTAAAAAAAAAATGTTACCTGGTTTTATAAAGTATCCTCCCGACAAGTATTTCAGTGCGGACCTGTTTTTGATCGTGCGGTCTTGGAGCACCGGCATGCCAGGTCTTAAGTCACCTGATTCACGAGCCCTTTGTACTACATTAACAAAGGCACGAGGGGTTGGTTGCACTCGATTGGGAAACCGATTCGCACAAATCTGTGATGCCGCGGCAGCATTTTGTAAAGACTCCCCCCCC